TTCCTTCCTTCCTTCCTTCCTTCCTTCCTTCCTTCCTTCCTTCCTTCCTTCCTTCCTATGTTGTTGACTTCTATGGTATGGTTGGTTTGAGGTTAGTATGGCCAACTGTAAGCAATAGCTGGGTACGAAAGTGTTAGACACAGCCAGGATGGATCCCTGAGATGACATCACAGGGCATCTGCTGTTACGTCACAGAACAACTCCCCAGTACTTCCTTGTGACACTATCAGGCAGGATTGAAGCCGCCGATAGCTCTGCTTGAGGGCCATCTATCAATTGATTACGAAAGTCCTTTCCCTGAATTGGTTCCTGAAAGTTCAGTCAGAGTTCAGTCAAGTATGTGAAACTTGCCCCAACTGTACTTTTGGGGACAGTCTATAAGCTCGGTCTGTTTCCTTGCACAACTTTTTTTTTAATACCTGCTAGAAAATAAAACATGAGCCCATGGCAGATTTCTTGCTTCGTTCATTTGTCAACAAAGAGAAAACGTGCAAATCCTTCTTTTTGGACTGTAAGGTCATGGCAGACTCTTTCCTTCAGCAGGACGCTGTGTCCTTCAAGGAGGTGGCTGTGTATTTCTCAAAAGAGGAGTGGTCTTGGCTAGATGCCCATCAAAAAGCCCTCCATGAGGAAGTCATGCTGGAGAATTCTCGGAACGTGGCCTCCCTGGGTAAGGATCTTGCTGGGTCCTTAAATATTGCCTTGTATGTTTATGGAGATTCTCAATCGTCTAGGTTAGAGGTCTCCAAACTTGACAACTTTAAGACTTGTGGACTTCAACTCCCAGAATTCTCCAGCCAGCTATGCTGGAAGTTGAAGTCCACAAGTCTTAAAGTTGCCAAGTCGGGGTCTCCTGGTCCAGGTCATGGTTGTCCCAAAGGAGATTTTCAAAAGGCAGTTGAACTTTCTTGATTTTTTTTCCCCCTTGAAAAAATTTCGCTTCTCTTCCAAAAAGCTTCTTTGGTTCTTCAGAACTTGATGAGAAGCAAAATGTTTTCAAGGGGGGAAAAAAACCAAGAAAGCCTTTTGAAAATCACCTGTGGGATATTACCTTGGATGAACTTGTAGATTTTGTGGATAAACTAGTCCTGTTTAAAGCCTAGCTGTGGCTTTCTTTCTGCTGGTGACCTTCTACCCACTGCGCCATAGAGAGTATCTTAACTTCCTGCACCTGTGTATGGTTTGCCAATTGCACAGGGGCAGACAGGACAGCACTCCGGAGGGTTAACTCAGTGGTGGGATTCAAACTTTTTTACTACCGGTTCTGTGGGTGTGGCTTGGTGGGCGTGGCAGGGGAAGGATACTGTAAAACCTCCAGTCAGAGGTGGCATTTGCTGGTTCTCTGAACTACTCAAAATTTCCGCTACCGGTTCTCCAGAACTGATCAGAACCTGCTGAATACCACCTCTGGTTAACGTCATTGCCCAGAGGATCATTGGTTGCCCTCTCCCCTCTTTGGAAGAGCTTTATGGCTCCCACTGCCTTAAGAATGTTCAAAACATTCTCAAAGATCCATCTCATCCTGGGCACCCTGTTTTTTTTTGTTTTTTAACTATTACCATCTGACAGACGGTACAGAACAATAAAAACAAGGACAAATAGGTTGAAAAACAGCTTTTGTCCCAGGGCAGTAACTCTATTGAATTCTACTGTATAGTGCAATATTAATGCAATATTAGGGGTTTTCAATTCAATCTATAGAACGTGAAGGATGTGTGTTTGTGTTTATTTTCATAGTCATAATGTACACTGAAGATGGTATTTAATTTCGTTGTACGAGGTGCAATGACTATAAAGTAAACTAAACTAAAAAAAAAACTTTTTTCTGCTCTTAAAATACAGATACAAGAGTGGAATTTTCTTCATGAAGAAATCAAGAAGATAAACAGGGGTTTTTTGAAGGTTTCTATCCATTGATATAATAGACACTGTCCATTTCAATATTATATGTAAACTTAGCAATAACCAAGACTAAATCAAACTATTATGTTTCTACCTGGGTTTAGAAATACTGCAGTCCTTGCTAAAATCCCAGAGGCAAATTCATAGTCAGTTTCTATAGTTTTTATTTCCCTTCTCTGGCCTTATTACAATTGTCTTTCTCTTTTCTTTTTTTTTTTTCCCTTCAGGGGATAAAAGGCAGAATAAAAATTGCAAGGAAAGCCTCCAAACTTTGATGCTGGAAGAGGGAAAGGAACCATTTGCAAATCAAACAGAACCAAAAACGTGCTCAGAAAGTCACTCCCAAAATGGAAGGAAACGCGGCTCTTCCTTTCTGTGGCCTCAAATTCAAGACTTCTTTGTCCAACCAAACTGCCATTTTAAAAGAAAAGGGAAACGTTCTGGGAAAGGCGGAGAAATCTTGCAGGATATATCAGATGTAAATAAAGCTTGCCGAACCCTGGTCAAAGAACGGAAGTGTCCATTCAAGGAGAACAGGAAGGGTTGCCGTCGTACTTTTGCCCCGTCTCTGCGCGAAAGAGTCAGCCGGGGGGAAAAACCCTATAAATGCACGGAGTGTGGAAAACACTTCAGCAACAGCAGTTCTCTTACGTGCCACAGAAGGATCCACACCGGGGAGAAACCCTATAAATGTATGGAGTGTGGAAAGAGTTTCAGTAGCAGCAGTAACCTCACTGCTCATAAAAGGAGCCACTCGGGAGAGAAACCCTATCAATGCCTGGAGTGTGGGAAGAGCTTCAGCACGAGCAGCAGCCTGACGTCCCATAAAAGGAGCCACTCGGGAGAAAAACCGTATCAATGCCCAGAATGTGAAAAGAGCTTCAGCACCAGCAGCAGCCTAACGTCCCATAAAAGGAGCCACTCGGGAGAAAAACCGTATAAATGCCCGGAGTGCGGAAAGAGCTTTAGTACAAGCAGTTACCTTACTTCTCACAAAAGAATCCATACGGGAGAGAAGCCCTACAAATGCACGGAGTGCGGGAAAAGCTTCAGCAACAGCAGTAGCCTCACTTCCCACAGAAGAAGCCACTCGGGGGAGAAACCCTACAAATGCCTGGACTGTGGAAAGAGGTTCAGGAAGAGCAGTAACTTTTCTTCGCACAAAAGGATCCACACGGGGGAGAAACCCTACAAATGCAGGGAGTGTGGGAAGAGCTTTAGTCAGAGCAGCGACCTCATATCCCATAAAAGGATCCACACCGGGGAGAAACCCTACAAATGTGCGGAGTGTGGGAAAAGCTTCAATACCAGCAGTAACCGTGCTTCCCATAAAAGGACCCACACTAGGGAGAAAATCTACAAATGGATGAAGGTACATTTTAACAAAAGCACCAGCCTCTCTAAACATAGAAGGATCCATACTGGAGAGAAACCGTATAAATGCACGGACTGCGGGAAAAGCTTTAGGAAGACCGCGACTTTCATTTGCCATAAGAGGATTCATGCAGTGGAGAAACATAAATTCTTGGAAGGTGAAACTGAAATATAAGAAAACCCTTATGTTCTCACAATAGGATCCATTTAGGGAAGAGAGCCTATTGGACCATGGACTGTTGAATGAGCTTTAATTAATGTTCTTACCTTACTTAGCCAAATTCAGTCTACAGAGAGCAGAAAACTACATGGAATAGTAAAAGAACTTCTGTTAACGTGGGTCTTTTACTAGTACTAAGAAGAAGCAGTGGGGAGAAAGCATATAGATACTGTGATGCACAAAAATAACAAAGTCACCAAAGTAGATAAATTCCCTTTAATGCCTCCAACTTGGCCCACAATGTCCAATTAACCTCGGCGGGAGATCAAATTCTTCCAGAAACAGTCTACAAAGGGAAGAAATGCAATCCGAACCCAAAATACAGATAAAGTAGAAATTAAAAAAAACCAATACAAACCACGCTGAAGTAATTAACATGACAGACCAGGATAATAACTTGCAGACTTCCAAAAGATAATGAGGCACGCACAGTTGGGAGGACGCCAAAACCCTGATAAGCCTCGGCAAAGATAATGCATGCTTTGCTTCCAGCATGGTGCTGTGTGCAAACGCCCTTCTTATATCCTGTTCTTCCAGCTGCAACAATGAAAGGGATCAGGGCCCTTTTCTCTCCCGTAAGCCACATTGCTCCCTTCTCCATTCCTCCCTGCGTGCCCTAGGATGAAGAAGGGGTGGCCCTGGGTCTTCCTCTGAATGCCTAGCCAGACTGTGCCCTTCCCCCATTTCTTCCACAGCCACCGGAGCCACCCTCCCGCTCCGTCAGCTGTTCAACCTCCCCCTCAGAATCGGACTCCAACAAGGGCATGACAAAACCCGTATGTTCTCACAATAGGATCCATTTAGGAAAGAGAGCCAATTGGAGCAGGGATTGTAGAAAGAGCTTTAATTAATGTTCTCACGTTACTTAGCCAAATTCAGTTCATAGAGAGCAGAAAACTGTCTAACTACATGGAATAGTAAAAGAGTTTCTGTTAACGTGGGTCTTTTATTAGTACTAAGAAGAAACTAGTGGGAGAAAGCATATGGGAATGTGGGAAGAGCTTCAGTAGAAGTATTGGACACCATTCCCCCATTATGGTTGCGTATAGCAATGAAAATATGTAGCATGTGGAAAGAACTTCAGCCGAAAGAGCTACCAACTTTCCCATACAAAGGATGAAGTGTGGATAGTGTTTCTATATGTGTAGATGATGATGCTTGAAGGAGTCCACAATGGAGAATTGTATAAAAATACCAGCCGTGGGAAAAGTGTTGATTCCATGCAGATTTTTCCCTCGGAACTTACTCATTCTTTACGATCCAGATACGCTGTAGGTGGATATGGGGGATGCCTTTTTTTTTCTTCCTCATTGTCTTTCATATTATTAATATCTCAATTCTCTTTTGTAACATTTAATTGTTAACAAAGATTGGTATCTTTCATGTTACCTGGAAAGGTTTAAAAGGATGGGAACAGAAATTGCATTTTTTATGGAAACGTTTGGTAGAGAAGATATATGTATGTGCTTCTATTCCTAGGGTAGCAGACAGAGGCTGTATTCCAGGGCATCTGCTTGCTACCTGCCTACATTTAAATTAGTGTTTGTTTTCTTAGCAAAAGCTCAAGGTGTCAGGATTCTGGTAATTACCCCAATTAAATCCTGAATCTGGAGCCAAACTTCCAAAACTTCAAAAGGATTTATCGGGAGTTAACATGCCAGCACTGCCTGGGTATAGCCAACTCTGAGACACATAATTCATTGTTACCCTTGACCCTGGTTTTCCCCCACCCCCTGGGTGTATCATAATTCATATTCTCCAATGAGGCACATCCATAGCCAAGAGTCATCAATAATGTTCTCCAGTTAGATATTTGCGCGGCAGAAACTTCAGTCACCTAAGTTACTATCTTTGAAAAACTATTTATGGAATGCACTTTCGATTTCCAAACTGCCGCATTCTCCCCTCCCTTTCTTTTGGCAACTCTAAAAAGACCATAGAAATATTTTATGAGTTGACACAAGGAAGGAGACTTTAGAGCACGATGCTAAATATTTGTGGAGTTGCTTCTACTCGTAACATAATTTGTGGTTTAAAATTATGATTAAGTTGGAAATCATATTCCTGTATATGTAACATTTGTGCGTCTTTGGTTCATTAGTGGTGAACAATAACATTTAAAAGTTGTATTTTATTTACAATTTGGATTTGTAAGACCATCCACCAGGGAGGCATACAGTCGGGTGGGATTCTACCAGCACCTATTCGCTAGAACCGGTTGTTAACATTCTAAGCAGTTCGGACAACCAGTTGTGAGAAGAAATTACTGGCCTAATCCTGTAAGGAAGGCAGGAAGGAAACATTCTGGTGTTGCTTACAGAAACTGCCTCTCCGTTAACCCTTATTACATTCTTGGCAGGACTAGACTTCCTGTCTCAGGAACTTCTCTGGAATTTTTTTCTCCTCCTTTGCTGGTACTTTGCTTGTGTGGAGTGACCATTCAAAGTTACAATGGCACTGGAAAAAAGTAACTTATGACCATTTTTCATACTTACGACTGTTGCAGCATATCCACAGTCAAGAGAGTGGTGAGGAAATGCGTGCCTCGATGTGAGTGATATTGAGTTGGCCATGCCCAGCCAATAACATCACTACCAAGCCATGTCCACCCAGTCACATGACCACCAAGCCACGCCCACAGAACCGGTTGTTAAAAAATTTGAATCCCGCCCCTGCATACATTATATATTTTCTTTTGTTATTCCTCTTTTTCGCTAACTTGTAACTTCTGTACTTCTGTGTTGGGTGTAGAAGTCTCCCTTGAATTAAGGCTCATCACCCTTGGTCCAATATTCATATTCAAGGGTGTTCCAATGCACATTATTTATATGTGGTTTGTTTTGTAATTCTTTGTAGCAGAGGAATGTAAGTATTATCCTACGTCCGTGTTGGCGAACCTATGGCACGCATGCCAGAAGTGACACACGTAGCCGCTTCTGCTGGCACGTGAGAGTTCGCCTGGAAGAGGCCCACTGCACATGCGCACTGCCGCCGCCCAACAGCTAATTGTCAGGTATCTGGCATGCATGCATGGGGGGCAGGTGGAAAATGTGCAGAGATGCGCAGCGCATGGGATTGGGCGTGCATGAGCAGATCCATGGCATGCAGGGGGGAATTGTGTGCGCATTGCCTTTCTTGGTACTGGCATGCGAGCGCAAAAGCACCCATGCAATTATCGGTACGGGAGCCGAAAAAGGTTAGCCACCACTGTCCTACGTGTTATTATTGTTAGTATTTAATAAATGTGTTTGAATTTATGTGGGTCCTGTTAAGATTTATTGGAAGAGGGAGAAACACAGATTCTGTCTTGGATCACCTGATGAAAAGGCAAGATATAAATCTGACAAACATAAGAATTTAAGAATTTAAGGTTAACTGTACTACAGTGATAACAATATTAATGATTCACCTCCGTGTATAATTATATTGCAAGAAATTTAGAATATTTTAGTATTGATTGAAATAGAAAGAAATTATTCATAAAATATTTGAATCACATTGATTCAGTGGCCAGAAATTAAACTAAGATATTCGAGATTTAATTCAAAAGTTTCAGTCACATTTTGTGTGGCTTTGGAAGATGATTCATTTAGCTTTAGTTCCCCATTTTTAAATCAGTTTTGAAAGCTCAAACGCTTTGCAAACAAAACATTTTAAAGAACAAAAATTGGAATGTTTTTATTTCAAAATATAATGGGGATAAAAATTCATGTATTTTTTCTCCCTCCAACTAACAAAACTTAACACAAAAGTGGTGATGGAAAAAGATTAAGATCATAAAAGGTAAAGGTTCCCCTTGCACATGTGTGGCTAATTATTTACGGTACTAGGGGGTGGTGCTCATCTCCGTTACAAAACTGAAGAGCCAGCGCTGTCCGAAGATGTCTCTGTGGTCATGTGGCCAGCATGACTAAATGCCAAAGGCGCACGGAATGCTGTTATTTTCCCACCAAAGTGGTCCCTATTTTTCTACTTGCATTTTGACATACTTTCGAACTGCTAGGTTGGTAGAAGCTGGGACAAGTACATTTTACGTTTTTTACATTTTATTTGATTTGTCAATCACTTACAAGATACAGGTATAAGAATAAATATAATTTTGAATACATGAAATAGATACTTATAAGAAAAATAAAAAAACAATAGGACAGGGACGGTAGGCACGATTGGTGCGCTTATGCACGCCCCCTACAGGCCTCTTAGGAAGGGGGTGAGGTTAATAGTAGACAGTCTAAGGTTAAAGTTTTTGGGGTTTGGGGAAGAAACCACAGAGTCAGGTAGAGTATTTCAGACATTGACCACTCTGTGGCTGAAGTCGTATTTTCTGCAGTCAAGTTTGGTGCGGTTAACCTTGAGTTTGTATCTATTGTGTGCTCTTGTATTGTTATGATTGAAGCTGAAATATTCATTTGCAGGTAGGACATTGCAATGTATGCTTTTATATACTATATTTAGATTGGACCAGAAGCGGCGTAGTTCTAGGTTTTCTAGGTCTAGAGTTTCAAGTCTGGTGGCATAAGGTATTCTGCAATGAGTAGAGGAGCGGAGAACTCTTCTTGTGAAATATTTCTGGACTTTTTCAATTGTGTTACTAGATACATGATACCAGTACAGATACATGATATCGGTTCCAGACTGATGAGCTGTATTCAAGTATTGGTCTAGCAAATGTTTTGTATGCTCTAGTTAGTGTGATATTACCAGAGAAAAAGCTACGCAGGATTAGGTTAACAACTCTTAATGCCTTTTTGGCTATGTAGTTACAGTGGGCTCTAGCACTTAGATCATTTGAGATGAGTACTCCAAGGTACTTGACAAAGTTTGGATCCTCAACAAGGTCTTGACTATTTAGCTTGTATTTTATTTTCTCATTTTTTCTGCCAATAAGTAAGACAGAGCATTTATTTGTTGAGATTTGAAGTTGCCATTTGATTGACCATTCTGATACATAGTCAAGGTCTTTTTGGAGGGTAGTAGTATTGTCTGTGGTGTTGAATAGCTTTACATCATCAGTGAAGAGAACGCAGTTGCTCTTAATGTCTTCTGTAAAATATGTATTAGATCATTGTAGTTGTCTGTGGTTCAACTAGGAAGTACTGGGCTTGATCCGATGCTGCTTACAAATACTGAGCCAAAGAATGTGTTAAAAAGGTTTGCTTTGATGATGTCGTTGCTGCAGTCTTTGCCATTAGATCCTTTCAGGGGTGGGATGGACCTTGAGTCTTTTAGTTTGTTGTTTACAAAATTGTAGAAAGCATGGGTGGAATTTGTGCGTAGGTTTTCCTCTTGTTTAATGTGATAATTAGTGCACTCAGTTTTTATCTGGTGGCATAGATTTTTGTATC